ATCTTGCACCATCTCCCCCGCCCCATGACTGCTCTGCCCACCCCACCTCTGATAGCTCATTTGCCAACCCCCACGGGAGAGGACGAAACCAGGTACTTATTGGCATGCTCCTTGCTCAAGCCCGATGCACTGGCCTCACTACAGGCCCCGGACATGCCCGCACCCTCCTCCTCTGGGCTTCTGCACCTGCCCTGCCCTCCTGCTGGACCAAGCTCCCCGTGGCTCCTTCCCGTCAGTGCCTAAGCGTCTCCTGCCCAACGTGCCTCCCGTGGACTCCTTCTGTGGCACTCACTCTCCTGCTGATTCCTCCTTACACGTGTCCTCTCTAAGCCAGTCCACAGCTGCCCTCCTTTCCCCCTAGAATGTATCTACGTTTACTTGTTTATTTCCTGCCTCTCCCATCGAACAAGACGCTCTCCAAGGAAGGCATCCTGGTCTAGTTCCATCACTCCTGTATTCTAAGAACCTAGGACAGTGGTTCTCAACCTGTGGGTCTCAACCCCTTTGGGAGTCGAACGACCCTTTCACCGGGGTTGCCTGATTCGTAACAGTAGCAAAATGACAGTGATGAAGTAGCAACGAAAATAATGTTATGGTTGGGGGGTCACCACCACATGAGCAACTGTATGGAAGGGTCGAGGTATGAGGAAGGTTGAGAACCACTGGCCTAGGAGAATGGGCCGCACAAAGCAGGCATTTATAAAGACTTGTGGAATTGAATCCCAAAGTAGGATTCTCCCCGGCGACTTTCCCTTTCCCACCACTATGCTCCTGGGAGACTTGTATGCCAAGTGGGAGGCATGGGAAAGGCGCAGTGCTGTGTCAGGGCTAGTCCAGGGCCCCCAGGGCTGCTCCAGGAAGGCACTGCTTTGCCCGGCTAGGTGCAAAAGCTCAGCACCCTACCGCCCTGGGCCCACCCCCTGCACTGCCACTGGGAGGGGTTGGAGGGGGCGAAGTCATCAGCCTTTTGGAGTTTTGATCTTCTGAGAAATGGGGTGGGGAGGGGGATGCTCTCCCCACTGCTGGGGGAGAAATGATACCTGCTGTAGCTGAATCCCTCGCAGGGAGACTGGATCCAGTAGGGACTCAGTAAGTTGGCTGACCAGTTATGAAGGGGAAAAATGAGAGTGTGCGTGTAAATGTATGTGTCTATCTAACGCACTTGGCATTGAGCCTGTGGTGTGTAATCACTCATTTACCCACAACTACTTACTGAATGCCAGTCTGTACCTGGTTTGGTCCTCTCCTGTGGGGGTTGGGAAATGAGCTATCAGAGGTGGGGTGGGCGGTGAAGGGAGAGACCGCCACGTGAGAGGGACCCGTTCCCCAGGTGACCTGAAGAGAATGGCTTCTCTCAGGAGCCAACATGCCCCAGCCACTGCAGAGCAGACGGGCAGGTGAACATCTGGGCCCATGCTTGTCTCTCCCTTTGCCCTGGGCCCTGAACAAACTCTGTTCTCCTGGGTCGGCCGTGCAGCTGATGAGATCTGGGGTCTGAGACGTGTCCTCCTGGGGATGCGCTGTGGCTGACGTTCTGGATGCTTTGGGCACCAACCAAGACAATTTTACATCTACGAATGGGCCTCCTGCAGGGAGTTGGGATGAGCTTCCTGGGGTGTGGGCTCACCGTTCCCCAAGTCCCCGGGTTTCCCCCCAGGTCCAACGGAGGCTTAGGTAGCAGCATCTGTCTGTTCTTTCCGTCCCCACTGAGGAGTGTGCCCTCAATAAACTGCGGGCCCGAGGTGTGTGTGAAACAGTGTGATCAAAGAGGTCAAGCCACCTTGGAGGGTGAGTGTGGACGGTGCCACAGCAGTCATGGCGTCGCGGCTGGCGGGTACAGTAGCTCAGACAGACACACAGCCCTTTTATGCAGAGGAGCCCTGTCAGGGGAGTGGTTCCGCATTGGGCTGCTAATGGCAAGGCCAGCAGTTGGAAACCACCAGCCGCTCCATGGGAGAGAGATGAACTCTAAGGTAAAGACTTACAGCCTTGGAAATCCAAAGGTGCATTTCTAGGGTCCCCGGAGTCGGGATTGACTTCACGGCAGTGAGTATGTGCCAGGTATGCAGGAAGCACTTTTGTGTGCGCTGTGCCTCCCAACAATGTTTCCTTTGGGTTTTAGCTTTGATAGATGTAGTGTAGATGAGCAAGCCGGTCGGTGGGAGGTCAGTGTCCTATCAGTGACCGCCTGGGCAACAAGACTAGCCGGGCCATCCACCTCCAGGCACTGCCTGTGCTCTGCGGAGGAGGAGGGCCCTTTCAAGCCACTGTGCTGCACCCAGCTGGGCAGCCCAAGCCCGGTCCCTGGCTTGCTGGGCCTCTGGGTCCCTCTGTCTTGGGGGTTGTGAGAAGCTGATGCAAGGACGAAGAGGTGAGGCCCTGGGAGTGCAGGATGCCCATGGTTATCGCAGACCGGATCGAATCCTCCTGCCTGGGGACTCAAGTGCGGCTGCCTCTTTGTGAATGGCCGGGGCACAGTCCTGCGTGGGTGTCTGGACTTCAAGTCCACTAAGATGCTCAGTTTGTTCCCTGGACTCGCTTCTGGAACTGGCTGGGTCTGTGTGGGAAGGACGGGGTCTGAGGTCTTATAAAGGCCGCCTGGCTTCAGGTCACTGTCTGAACTCTGGGTCTCAGTGGGGTTTCCAGGAGCAGCATGGAGACAGGCCCGGCCCACTCCCTACTCTGGAGCTGTGAGGACCACTGTGGCGTCAAACTGCCCGTGACAACTGGACACACGGCCTGACCCCCGTGAAGGCTCAGCAGAGGGGGAGCTGTGGCCACGCATGTGTGTTCGAATCAGCCCATTTACAGCAAGGAGAAGCAAAGCCCCAGGGTGGGCAAGTGTGCGAAAGGGTTTCAACCTGAACTCACTGCCACGCCCACCCTCATCCCCTGTGGCCCCAATTCTCCACAACAGCCCCTGGGTTCCTGTAGGAGCCATGACCAGGCTTAGCTCGATGTGCTCCAAAACGCAGTCCGTCGCCAATAGTGGGGGCTTTGTGAATTTTCCCGGGGGTTCGCTGAAGGACTACACTCAATCCTTCCTGGAATCTAGGGGTATATCTTCCTGACACCGAGAAAGGGAGTGGCGGGGTCGGGTGTGTGTGACTGCAGCCTTAAAAAAGGAAAGAAAGAAAGTCCTGATGAACAAAAGGCAGAGATCCAGGATGCAAAAGAAGGGAAGGAGAAAGGGATGGAGCGAGAAAGGGAAGATTCCAGAATGCCAGGCAGCAAGGCCACTTTAGAAGAGCTGACCAATGGGTGGCCATGAATCCAAACGCATGGGCCAGTCTGAGCTCGTGCCTGCTGGTCCACCATCGCACAAACTCTAGGGTCACAGAGCTCTGGAAGCCACCAAACGAGGCTAAGGGCAGGGCAGGCGTGGCGCCTGTGCGCCCCCACCCCCACGGCGGGGCAAGTGTCTCCCAGCAGCTGACTGACCTGAGACCTTGGGCTCATGTGTGTCTCGTGGCTGGCCCCGTGGTACTCGGCCGTTCTATCTGGACTGTAGCAAGCATCACAAGTACACGGACTATTCGAGCTCGGGGGCTGTTTCCTAGGTCTATACACCTGTGGGAGAAAGCTACAATGGTTAGGTGCAGGAGGGGAGGGTGCAGGGTGCACAGGGTAGGCGTGAAGAGGAAGCAAAGGAGGAGGCTCGTCTTGATTCTCTGTGGCCAAGTGGGTCGAGAACACAGAGTAGAAGATGCACAACTCCCCAACAGAGAGGTCAGATGTCAGTGGTCTGGAGACCCCGGCTGTGCTCATGAGGCATACCGCTCTCTGGGCGCAATGACCCCAAGTCTGGTAGTTGGCAGCAGGCTCGCTCTCTCTTAGCAAGGCAGCCCTCATGAGAAACAGACCCTGCGTTAGGGCCAACGGGTGCCTTTCCTTCCCGAGAAGGGAAAGGATTGGCTTGGTTGTAGGGCCAGGAGGAGTCTCCCTTCTGACTTCCCTTCCACTCACCCTACACACTGTGCTTAGCCCGGAACCACCGCAGTCGGCAGGCAGACAGCTAGTGCTTGGGACTGAAACCAGCGTGGGCATCTCCACGTGGTCACCACGTGGCATTTAGAGAGCTTCCTTGCTGCACGCGTGTGGCCCTGGCTAGGAATGTGGCAGCCACTGTGTAAGGCCGTCGGCCTGCAAGGCTACTTCGTAGGTCTCATCACGGAGCAAAATCCCAGTGAATATCTTTAACCGTCACCCACAGAAGGCCCCTCACCTACCCTGACTTCTTCATTTCCATGGAGGAGAAATCGTGGCTGAAGATGTCAGGGGTGAATTTCCAATATGCTTCAGACGCAATCATTGCCTAACAAGGGCCTCTCTCAAAACCTTCCAGAAAGCAAAGGCCTTTCTGTCCAAGGGGTGTCCATGTCCCTCCTTCCTTTCCTTTTAAAGCAAATGCAGTGGCCCCGAGAGGATGGGGACTGGAAAGGAGGCCCACGGGTGACACATACACCTGGCCGAATCAAGGCAATGGGGGCCTCCCAGTCCAGGATGGCCTGCGCGGCACTGAGAGAAGTTGCCTGGCTGAGAGGTCCTGGGGGAGGTCGGGGAAGAAGCAAAGTTGGAAGTCTGGAGAGGAAGAAACCGAAAGGATTGGATGCGGGGAGTTGTGTACGGAGCCCAGAAAGCAAGCCGGCGGAAGGCAGGAGGTCCACCAGGAGAGAAGGGGCCCAGGACGTAAGGAGGAGCAGCGTCCAGCATTCGGTCGGAAGCCAACCAAAGTCCGCTGGAGAGAAGAGCGCGGTCTCTGGGCGATGGTGTGAACACAAAGGAGGGAAAACAGTGCCAGGTGCAAACCACACGAGCCCAGCCAACATGCGCATCAGGAAAGCAGTGACACGGTGCGCCAGCAACAAGGCGGGCCTTGGCACTCTTACCTGGCGCGAGCTGCTGGAGCCCACAGGATGGACACGGGGGTGGAGAGCGGCCACCCCGGGGAGAGCAGCCCGGGCCCACCCCCCAGACCCACCTTTGTCAGGAGGCCCCACCTGCTGCTTCAGCTGGTGCACCAGTCGGTCCTTTTCCCGCTTGAGGGCCATGACTTCCTCCTGGGTCTTCTTCTTCTTGGACGCAGACAATTCCAAGAGGGCAATGTTCGCATCTTTTTCGCTGATGGCTGCTAGCAAGGCTTCCTGTCTGGAGAAACAGAAGAGAGGGTGGTCACCTGATGGCTCGAAGGGAAACGATGCCTTGTACCTGTAACGGGCAGGGACCAGAGGACTGTCCGGATGGGAGAGGATGATGGACAGCACTTAGGACACACTCCTCACTGACCCTCAGAGGGTGAGAAGCAGCTTGGGTGAGAGTCTCCAAGGGCCTCGCCCTGCGTTCTCTGAGAGAGAGTCTTTAAGGGCTTAGTGGGTGCAACGACATAAGCAACAGAGAGGGCAGAGAAGAGAGGGGTCATTTTGAGCATTTATTACTAAGGTACTTTTGGTCATCCATCCGTCCGTCTATCCATCCACCTTCTACCTCCTCCATTCATCTATCCACCCATTCATCCCCCACCCATCCAACTGCCACATAAACTACAGGGACTACAAAATAACACAACCAATTTCAATATGAAAAATTGTTATACGAAGATTTGCTTTTGAAGGCAGATGGATAGATTTACTTTCTGCTTTTGATACAATTCAGGATACTTCCTTGCCACCCCACCAAACACTACTCCTTCCCAAGTGCTCCTTAGCTCAGTATTAATATCACCAACCACATTGTTCAAACCCCAAGCCTCGAAGTTATTATCCTTCATCCTTCTCATTCCTTCTTCTCACGTCTGTCAACTCCCTGGCTAAGCCCTCACAACTTCAGTCACTGACTGGAAAATGCATGTCTTGCTACCAAAGCTTTGGGGGCCTCCTGTGCTGCCTGTGTTGACCGCTGGTCTCCCTGGTCCCCGGGGCCAAAGCAATCTTTAGCAACATCGCAACTTTGGATCCCACCACTCTGTTGCGAGAACCAATCCATTATCTTGGAAGTCCCCCACTTCCTTTCCCACGCCCGAGTCACTGATATCGCACAGTGTGTTAGTGCACCCACCCCCACCCAGAGTGAGCCACGATCTGCACAGACCTCAGATACGTGCCTTCTAGACACATGACGCGATGACAGTGGCTCTCAGCCTTCTCAAGCCGTGATCCTTTCGTACAGCTCCTCATGTTGCAGTGACCCCCCAACCATGAAATTATTTTCGTTGCTACTTCATCACTGTCATTTTGCTACTGTTAGGAACCGGGCGATCCTGACCCACAAGCTGAGAACCGCTGCTCTATGCCCTCAGAAGCTCATCTGTCCTGTTCATCAATCACCATCAAGTTCCCCGAAGAGCCTCAAGCACAAGTCCTCACACGTTTGCTGAACGGGTGATAAGGTCATTCTACGTCCAGTTGTTGGAGACAACACTGCATATCTCTTCCCGTCATCGAAAAATGGCCATCCTCTGCTTCTAGCGTGATCTTTGATCATTTCTTACTCGGAAGAAAATGTTGTAGTTGCCACCGCCCATCTTTACACTTCCATAGTATGTACACATCTGCCAAGGAATTTAACCTGGAATCTTCCGGAAGACATTGCACTAGGAAACATCTCTTCCAAGTATTCCCACCAGTAGGATCGAGTCAAGTCCCATATCTTCCACATTCTAGATAACCAGGCGACCAACCCACAGCCCTCAAGGAAGCCACTCCAACATTGGTATTTTCCTTGCATACGTGTCTCAAGACCACAAGTTGGTCACGAGTCCCTGTGGCCTTTTGAAACCGCCCCCTCACCAGACCAGGCCCCCTCCAGATGTCTGCCCAAGGTAGTGGTTCACTGGGTCTTGGATTGTCCTGCCTTTTCATGGCAGGGATTTGGATGGGTTTTTCTGGGCCCCACTAATGCCAGGCAGTAGGAGCTTCTGTCCGTGGTGCAGGCAGACCTGTGAGCAGCGGAGCATGTCAGAAAATCGTCCACTTTCCAGAAGAAAACCAGCACAGGTTGGATGACCGGCCAGCAGTGGCATTAAGACCCTGCTTCACAGAGCTGGGCTCCTTCTGGACAACGTCTTGAGACAATAGACATGTTCGCTGCAGCACATCGCCAGCATGTGTTTATGGCCGCAGCCAAGAAGAAGGGGCGGTAAGGACTTCAGAACTGGGAGAGTACGCTCGATATCTAAGGTAAATCTAAAGTAAAACACCCCCGAAGTGACTGCAACATTTTCCCCAACTCTGCGCCAAGTGGGGCGGCCCCAAAGGGAAGCGTTTTTTAATGGGATTGACCTAAATAAACCAATTTGAGAGAAGCCCACGGATGTGGGGATGGTAGCGCGTTTCACCCCCTGAACGGCCTCTTTAGAGCTTTACGTAGCCATTTTCAACGACGATGAGGAAACCTTCGTGACATGCGCACACTGCTGTGTTCCAGACAGACCCCTGATCCTCGGCGTTTACATTTTGAGCAGAGACCCGGGAGACCATCTCCTCTCTTTTCAAGGATGCTGGCATCATCAATAGTCTTAGAAAGGAGAGCTAGCATTTCTCTCTGAAGCAAACACCACACAGCCTTTGTTACCCAAGCACAGATGGGTAGGTGTGTTTGCATACTTGTGTCAGAGTGAGGGCTTCTTTCCCGAGCAAAGGGCAGGGGTGCCTAGCACGAGTTAGGAGAGGTTCCGCTTCCCTAAACTCCAGGATGCTCTGCTGAGGCTCTGGACCGCTCCTGTTGCCTTCACAGGACTTCGGGGTGGACACGGACGCGGGGCTCCATGCTGCTCTGACGCGAGCAACAAAGCTCTTTGTCCCTGATCCAGGATTTGCTTGTCATCTGCCAGCACCCCCCAAATTAAGGCGGGCTAGTTGTCACCAGAGACCGTCTCAGAGGCTTCGCGGTTGTCCACCTGCACATGTATGTACAAGAGGAGCCCCCAATAGGAAGCTGTATTTTTAGGAGAAAAAAAACCCCTAGATGGAAATCTACCAGATTGCTAGTAGTCATAATTTCATGTGGTAGGAGGAGAGGGTTTTTAGTGTGTTTACAATTTGCTGCATTTTTTCTTCCTCCAACAAGATATTATATACACACAAATATATTATATACACACATACATACATATATTATACACACATACATATTATATACAAACACATGCATGCACATATACAAACATATGCATACATGTTATACACACACTATATACACACATACATATATTATACACGTACACATACATATATGTAAACACATGCATACACATATAGAAACACATACATATATTATATACACAACATATATAATACACACATACAAATATTATACACATACATATATTATACACACATGTACATATTACACACACACATATATTATATACAAACATAAACATGTCACATACCCACATACATATGTTATACACAATACACACATATTATATACAAACACATGTTATATACACACATACATATGTTATACACACATGTACACGTTATATACAAACACACATGCATGTTATATACACATGTGTTATATACAAACATATAGTATACACATATGTACACATACACAAAAATACATGTGTTAAATACAGACACGCACATTCATGTTATAAACACCTGTACATGTGTTATATACATGCATCTATTATACACACACACATACATACATATTGAAAACTTTAGAGCTTTGCAGCCAACACGCAGTTGCAGGCACAGACTTGAGAGTTTAGCGGACGTGAAATGTACTCATTTTCACACCCAGACATTTATGTTTGTCTCATTTACCCTATACACAGGTATATGTGTGCACGCACATGCACACACGCACCGCCTGGTCTGGTCGACATCGTCTCCCGTTTGGACAGGGGCTGTCACCTGCTGACGAGATCCCTTGTCCCTCTTTTACTTTTTACTTTTTGCTTCTCTTTAACCCGTTTTCCTCCTCCATGTCAACATTTGGAGTTACAAAGCTTTAATAACTATTAACATCACCACCAATGCAAAGAACGGTCATTTCAAACACCTTGTTCACCTGGACTGCTATTAATTTGGTGGATTTAGCATCGATTTCTTCTCTTATAGCATCATCAAAAGTCCCAATAAATGAATGTCTGATTCTTAATGCTCTGTCAATCAGGCAAACGTACACCCTCCCTTTATTATCAGTGGGTGTTATCACTGAATACAATCTCGACTTGACTTCATTTTACTGTGGACCCTCGGCACCCTCTGAAAGTGATGACTGTAAACGGGCACGCAGCTGCTCTTCGCACGAGACAGTCCGTGCTTCCCTTTGCCAGTGTCCTTCGTGATTTCTTGCTCGGCTGTGCTCCAGGTTAACACATCTCCGAATAGCATTCATGCAGCAGAACTATGTGTCTGTCTGTCTGTCTGTCTGTTTCCAGACGCTCCGTTTATCACTTCCCTTAAAGCACCTTGATTAAAAGCAGCATTCACTGATTCTAGTTCATCAAGGCGTAATTAGGAGATGGGGATAAAACACCCAGCACATTAAACAACCCTCGCAGTCAGAACACCCGCAGGGTGTGGGAGGGTGGCACAGCTCTGCAGACATGACCTGTTTGCTTGTCAGGTCAGACATACTCTTGATTCCAGGCTGAAAGAGGTGCTATTTGGGTTGTTTTTAAGCAAGCTGTTGTTTACAGCAACTCTCTATGAAGTTGATTAGCTATAACTAATCATTTAATTCACTGTAAGCCAATCCCACAATTGTAGATCTTCATTTAACGGCTTCGCATCGGATCTTTTGCTCTGCGTTGCCTTATTTGGAGGGCGGGCGGTGGATTTCAGCTTGAGCATCGTGAACTTGGTTCCTCGGATGCAGGGGCTTGGCAGAGCGGGCACCTCGGGAAGACGATGAGGCTGCCTGCTCGGAGGATGTGACAGGCTCAGGCACCCCTCACAGGACCGCGAGGGTGGGAACAGACCAGCTGGCAATAGGGTTACGCCAGCGGGCTCATGTGTGTATCTTCAATGAACCGATTAGCTGATGTGCCAACTGAAGTCACATAGGGACACACACCTCTCTAAATTCATAGCACGGTCTGTTTCGGAGCAAATGGCAGCCATTGAAAAAGCCGAGGGAGCTTAAATTTTTCTCACTATTAGTATTACTGTCTTATGCAGCAGAAAAGTTAG